TATGAGACCAGACAGTCTTCACATATTTCAACAAAACCAAGAAAACATATCACAATAAATGGGATGCAAAAGTAGATAGAAAATCCAACTGTCTTCTAATGGTCCAGACATTAAACAGATTTCCAAAAATGTAAAACAGTACCACTCTTCTCACTAACATCATCTGTTTCTGTAAAAAAATTGTTATTTGTCATAAAAATACATTATGTCAACATGTAATGTATGTGTTATTATTTTTAAATGGATTAATAAATATTTTTTAATTTTCTCACTTTTAATTTCTTAATGGTAAATACCAATAGTCATAACCCACATAAACAAAAGCTCGTGCAGTCCTCAATAATCTTTAAGGCAAGAAAGTTTGAGAATCTTTGCAATACACTGTTAACACATTTTTCACATGTTCAACATACTTTCTTAAGTCTTGGCCAACAAGAGTTAGTATGGCAATCTATGTGTTTACACAGGGACAATACACATAAGTGAAATGCACTATAAACTTTCTTAACCAACGAAAGCCTAAAATGCTACCTTGGTTTGAGCATACTCCGCAAGGAGTGATGTTTACTGTACTGCAACCTCTGTTACTGCCATGTATTTTGTGTTCTGGCAAACGATCTGGACCCATGGGGGCTGACAAAAGTTGAATAACTGACAGTGATGGACCTGGCCCAAAAAAACAAAGATTAAGTACTATGATTGATGATTGATGTTTGTTGTTATTTAAGCTCTCTTTAAAGTACATGGTTGAGGATTGATTTATGATTAGTAGACAACTTTTGAAATTTTGAAAGACAGAATAAACATAACTGCAGACTGAGAGGATGGTCCATAAGGGTATGAATCATAGCTGGGATAAACTATGAATGAGAATATGTAAACTTCAGGAGAAGGGGAGAGAATGGCAGGGGAAGACAACTGCCACCCTCCACTGGGAGAAGATTATAAACGTGGGGGTGATGTAGTTAATGCTCACAGAAGCATCGCCAATATTTTACATGCAGTGATAGTGGAAGAGGCAGGGAGGTCTTAGGCTACAAAAGATGTTCTTGGGAGATCAGTTCTAACATACAGGTCTTCAGGACCAAGAATACCAGACATGGAAATGAGAAACTTCTAGGTTCTAAAGGAATTGCCAAAAGTCATGATTCTTTACTACATGGAGCAAAAAATCCTTCAGTATTCCTTAAGAAAAAACATTTCAAAAATGAACAAGTTTCAAAGTTTTAGGATTACAGATAAGCTAAAAATCAATTTTAAAACATCTCTAGAAGTACTGCAATTTTAAATAAACTTCCAAAGAAATCATACATTGAATTTGAAAAGAAAACCATGAAAACTTATGTCTATTACCTGTTCCACAAAATATACACCGACGTTTAAAGAACAGTTGAAGCTGAGACAGTCACACCAAATCCTTAAGAAAATTTTAACAAAAATTCTAGTTTTCTCTAAAAAGAGAAAGCATTCTTTTCAGGTACTCTACACACACAGGAGTACCACCTATCTTAGCAAATATTCATTCACAAATATCAATTAAGCATTATTGTGTGCCAGCCATGGTATTATTTTTAGGGAAAAATGTACACACACACACATATACATGGGAAAGGGAAGGGAATGGGGAAGAGAAAAGGGGAGATGAAAGAGAAGAGGAAGAAGGAGTGAATTATAAAATTAACTTCAGGAAACAAGGGGAAAATAACAGCATATAATTACATCCACTCTCCCTCTACCCCCAACCAATGCCTAGCTTCTATGGTGATTTCCAGGGCTGCCTGATTGGCTCCAGGTTTTTTTTTTTTTTTAATTATCAATCCTTGAAATAGGTGGAGCTAAATAATTGGAAGAAGCTAGGAATGACTAGATGTATTACCTTTGAACAGGTGTCCTCAAACTACGGCCTGCAGGCCACATGCGGGTGTTTTTGTCCGTTTATTTTTTTACTTCAAAATGAGATATGTGCAGTGTGCATAGGAATTTGTTCATAGTTTTTTTTAAACTATAGTCCGGTCCTCCAATGGTCTGAGGGACAGTGAATTGGCCCCCTGTTTAAATAGTTTGAGGGCCTCTGCCTTAGAAGAACCCGATGCTACTAGCAAAAGAAAATAACAACCTCCAAAATAAAAAGAGAGGATGAAAAAAGAAAGAAAACCACATTAATCAGAAGACAGGAGAGGAAGATTTTACATGAGCAACTAATGTGAACAATGAGACTTTGGGAAAAGGAAGGTTAAAGGAGTTCTCTAAATGAGGACATTGTTATATTTCCGCTGTTGTCAACAGACTTAGGCAAAGATTTAAATTTCTTCTCAATTTTTAAAAATATTGAATGGATCAGTCCTCTAAGACTGGCCCTTAAGTGGCCCCATTACATTAGAGTTACAATAACAAGGTCACATGGTACTATTACATATTTGTTACCTTCAGTGATAAAAGGCATTGACTTTCCAATCCCACAAACCTATTTATACTTTAACCAACTATCCCAATCCTAAACCCCTACCATTAATAGCTGCTACTGTTAACCTAATTCTCTGAAGATTCTTCCAAAGAACTCTGTGTGGTACAAGAATTTCCTGAACTCAGTACTGCTAGGATCTCAACTTCTTCACCAGCAATGCTTTTCTAAACAAAAATGTGCCTTTAATGCTATTAGTTTATCTCTTTCAAGATTAAAAAAGTTAACTACTAAATGAAGTAGACTTTTTGAAGGAATTTTTAATTGAATATTCACATTGGCAAATATGTATTGGTTTAATCCAACTCTACGAACAAAGAAATTTTAGTGATATTTATTAAAATAGGATTCTTCCATATTAGGCACAGGCACACTATATATTAATAGCACCAATACAGTATCTGATAAAGGCAATGATGAACTGACAGCAGCTCACTGGTTGAGTCTATCATTTGCAAACTTAGGAAACAATTAAATTTCTCTCTGGCTTTCACATTTCTATAATGCAACTCATTACAAATGCAAACTACAACTATAGTCTCTTTCTCAAGTGGTAGGAAAACAGGTACACAGGAAATCAATTACCCAAATTTTAACAGAAAGAAAAAAATCCTTCTACAGATAGGCTTAACTAATAAGTAAACTAATTAACTTTCCACTTTTAAGACGGAACTCAGCTCAAATCAGATGACTTTTTGAATACCATCCAAGAACTGACAACCTCTCTTAAGCCAGTTGCTACAAAGTATGATCAAGAGAGCATTTCGGATCCTCCAGATGGTCCCGGGGCTGCACTCAAAATGCAAGGATGAGAGGTATTAGTGCCAGTGAGGCCTTGTCAAACAAAAGAGGAGAAAGCTGAGATGACTGTGTTCACCTCAAGTGACTACTGGGAATTCAGCAACCCTATCTCAGACTGCCTAAAATATTAAGGGTTGAGAGAGTATACATAAATTGTTATCATCAATCTGGATAACAACAGATTTAAAATCCCTATGCTAAATAAACTAGTTATAGAGGAAGATTTTAGTGGGAACGCCACAATTTACCCAACTTTCTCCCAACTCAGCAAGTACTGCCAGTCCCTTGTTGTGTATTACTCACAGCAACTAAAGAATCTTGTGCACTAGCACATCACCCTGTTTGACACTAAATCACATGGCTTAAGTATGAAGATTCAAATGAGGATTTTCATTATAAATGTTTCCACTATCAAAGTGTGAAAACACATTTGAAAATGTGCCATATACTGTTACTGGGGGGGGAAAAGCCAAAACAAGTACCTTTACCCATTGCATCATTACCTTGGATCTGACAACAGTTCTAAGCATAATGTTTTAAAAGTAATTGGTGATTTAATATTTAATTTGCTTCCTGAGCAGTCTATGTTGAATATATGGTGTATTAAACTTCTCTAAAATGTTCATCCAATAGCTGTCACCTTTCATGTAGGTCAAACTATAGGTTTTTACTAAAAAGTGAATCCTTCCAAAACAGTTACATAATTAAATTAGAGCTGAGAAACTAAAATTTACAATAAATTTTTCATAATGCTAACATTTAAAAGATTCATGACTTTTTTCATTTTTATTTCACTTTATGTGATCTTTTCTTTTTTATACACATTTTCTCAAATTCTGGAAAGTTATCTACTATTTTAGGAATCACAAGTACAAGAAACACTTTAGATATATCTAACCCTTTGGTGGAACTATTAATATACAGAAGTCAACTTTTCAATTCAAATTCCCTTTAAAATTACTCCAACAAAAATAACAAAAATTTCTTGACATTCATTTTCTTTCATTTATTTAAATAACCCTCTGTTTCCATTTTTAGTGTATAATTTCATTGTAGTGATCGCTGCTGTGATTATTTTTCCAGCATCCATTCCCCTTCCTCCTTTGTAACGAAAGTAACTTTGTTCAGATACCTACTCTTACTGTTCACCCCACATTGGAAGTTCTAGGGATAGACCATAATTCATTCCAACCAACTTTGTCAGTGACTGGTTCAAGAGCTCAATTCACTCAAAACATGGTATTCTCCTACAGACCAGTATGTTAGCACAAATAGGCACTCTAGCTGTTCATCCTCTTTCCCTCCCCACCATAAGGAAACTGAACATCAGTGCCTTTTCCATGGCCTACTGAATAAAGCCCAAACTCAGCATTAAAGGCTCTCTACTATGTTGCCTCCAACTACATTTTTAACCCTTTCTCCTTTGCACACATTTCCTACTCTAGCAGTTAGAAGCTTGACCTTTCAAAATTATGCCCCTGCCTTTCACTTCGTATCTTCCTCTAGGCTGTTCCTTTGGCTGGGAAAGCCCAACCACTCCCATCTCAGCTAATTCAAATCCTATTCATTCAGCATCCAGATAAAAAGTAAACTTTTCCATGAAGTCTTCCTTGAAACTGCCATTAACAAATGTAATTCAACATACACTCTTGTATCATAAGTTATTTGTGCATGCTTATAGACGGTTTTAAAACTGTAAACTCTTGAATGGCTGCAGATAAACTCATATGCATCTTCCCATTCCACCACCATCTTTCTCCAGATACCCAAATGCACAGAGTGGTAGCTCTGCAAATACTTAAATGAACACATTTTTTTCAGAATGAAAAATGCCTCTACAGAATAGATTATCACAAAGACTGAAATGTCCTTGGAAGTCTTTAAAAACATCCTCGTATGACTTAGGAATAATTCTGCTGAAGGAAAAGGAACAAATCAGATGACCTTGTAAAGCTTATTCTGCGAATTACATCAACTCTAAAAGTATTGCCTAATAATTCAAAAACAAACTATACAAACTATGCAAATACTATTTACAAAAAGAAACTAGCATTTATTGTAATATGCAATGCTTAACAAATTTTTCTACCCAAAATTTGAGCTGTTCTTAGAATATTTATGATATTTTCAGTTACATCCAAGGATTGCATCAAAAGCTCATTAACTCTTATTTCATACTTGAAAGAAGTAGGACAGAGAGAAACACTGGTCAACTCAAGCTGGTATCAGAGCAAAATTAATTTAGAAGCACAAGTTCATAAAAATGTACATAATGATGTCAATTTTTATTATCTGCACATCATCACTAAAAATATACCTATTGAATTCCAGAAGATATCTAATTTTGATGATTATACCTTCACTATCTTCTATGAAAAAGATATACAAAAAGTTTTGTATATCTTTTATCCCCAATTAAACCAATCTGTACAATTAAAGTTGGCTAAAATTAGGTTAGATCTACAAGAATATTATCCATTCAAAAAAGGCCTTAAATGCCTGGAAACACAGTGGTGTATCCAGAAAGAAACAGGGTTAACCATGATATTTCATAAATCATTGAACCTGCTTTTTAAATAAAACCCTTCAGAATAAATCTCAGTAAACCTCAGCAATCAATTAAATGGGACAAAAAAAACCTTGATTCCACAGGACAATGCACGCACAAAAACAAAGAGCATTGTACAAGATGAAAATCAAGTTCTAATATTTAATGGTTATTCACAGAAAATAAAATGTATGAAAGATTAGAGGGTAGAAAATTAAATTTAAATAGGTGTTTTTAAAACCGTTAACAAGAAAATAAAAGACGTTTATTTCTTTTGTCCTAATTTTGCTATATTCTATGTATTTCCGTGGGCCAACTTAAATCCTCCAGGAATGACACTAAAGTACAAATAAATTCTAGTTTTCGAATGTAGTATAGCATGCTATACAGTTATTTTTTTTAAAAAAAGATCATTTTCAAACTCTTGTGTATGCTTCTTAAAGGTTACGGTAAAGCTACAATTTAAAGTTTTCCGAATCATTTTAAAAGCATCTCCAGTTTTCCTGGAGCCGCCTCGTAACGGAAAGTGATTCTAAACACAGTTTCTAACTGCACCAGTCAGTAAGGGAATTCGTTATCTACAGAGAACCCTGCGTTCCCCAGAACCTAGCGGGTGAGAGCCACGGGCGCTGTCGGGGATCAGAGATGACGGGTTCAGTTACCTCTCCGACCCGGAACACCTGAGCTGCGCGGGCCGAGGCTGCAGCCGCCGCAGGTGGGCACCGGTGCCTCGGCCCCAGCAACGAACACGGCCCCTGAGAAAGTTGGGCTCCCACCGCTAGGGACAGGCGAGAAGGGGGTAGCGGCTCCCAGACACCTCCGCCCCGGCCCGCCGGCCCAGCCTGGCCCCCGGGAGGGAAGGGCTCGGGCTACTCACTGTGCAGAGAGAGGAGCAGCAAAGGCGCCAGAGGGGAGCCCGGAGAAGTCATCCCGGGGCCGCAGGGAGCGCGCTCGCCGCCCGCCGGACTCCTCGTCGCGGGGGAGAGGCGCGGGCCGGGCTCTCGGGGCTCTGGGGCAGCCTGGTCCTCCCAGACCCGCCGCCTGCCCGCTGGCCGCCGGGCGGAGCTGGGACGGTCGGACCGACAGGCGAGCCAAGTGCAGCTCCCCCGCCGCCCGGCTCCGCGAAGGCTGAGCCGCGACCAGGGGCGTCCCGGGCTCGCCTGCCGCGCCCAGCAGCGCCGCGGCCACCTCGCGCTGCCCCAGGACCCGCCGGCCCCTCGCGGCGCCCGGGGAGCCACTCCCCCCAACTCACGCCCGGCAACTCCGGCTGCAGCCCGGCTGCTAGCCGCGCCGCCCACTCGCCCCGCTCCGTCTCCAGGGCAACCGCGGCTCCAGCGCGACGCCTGGCGGCCCACCCGCGGAGCCGAGCGCGGCGCGCAGCTGGCGCGGCCCGGGCCACCTGTGCGCGGGGCCGCCGGCTCCCCCGCACGCCTCCGCCCGCTCCGCCCGCCTCCGCCCGCGCGGGGAGCCGGCGCCCCTCCCTGCTCTCCACCACGGCGCACACAGGTGGTGTCAGCTTGATCCATCCCCGAAGAGCTCTAGGAATGAATGCCTTTTGCAAGACTTCCTCCCTGCCAACCAGCAAGTCTTTACTGTTGCAGATCATTTAAATTTGGTCATTTCACTTTCAAATCCTCTCTTCTGAAATCTAAATAATCTGAAAGAACCTGACTGTGACAAAATTAGGACTCGATGAGGTTTGGCTAATTCTATAGCTCTTTTGTGCTTTTTCCTGGGTACTGTTTCCCTTTTATTTCTTGAGAAGTGCATAGGACTGTTGGGAGTACCATACTCCTCACTCCTCACTCCTATCAAAGAGATGCCATCTTCTCTTGTCCCTTTTGTAAAACTTATGTCAAGTTGTAATATTTTAAATTTTCAGTTTTAAACATTACCACTTTCTTAAACTAATTTCAAGTATTTATTAACTAGTGAAGACGTGCTTTTATGGTGGTAGTTATTATACTTTTAGCTGATTTTTAATTTTATTTCGTTTGTTTTGGTTGGATAGGGAGAAAGATCTTCATAGCATCTGAAATTATTTTACTTAAATATCTGCCTACCTCTTTCCTCATAAAATCTAATCTTTAGTCCTTTTCCATACAGATCTCTGTTCTCTGTTGTGCACCCCATAGTCACTTTCTGCTTCAGCCTCCAAACTGAGCCTTCTAAATTTGAGGACATACCTGCCCAGGGAATGCCAGACCATTTGGGGCAACTTTCTACAGCAGCATAGATTAGGATTCTTAGGAGCCATTCAGAAATTCTGAGCCTTCATCCAGCAGATGCAATCCTCCCAGGGCAGCTCAGAAACAAAAATATTATGTGCAGGAGAAATGCATATATGTAAAACATTTTAAAATATACATTTGGACAAGGATTGGAAGATAATGTAAAAGTGAAAATAATATCAAGATGAAATTATGGATGTACTTTTTCCTTTTTGAAAATGTGGATGTTATATTTTCAAGTTAAAAATGGGAACATGCTAAGAAATGTCAATCATTTTTAACAAGACTATCCTGAAAAGATAAATTTTAATTATGAATTAGCGACGCCTCAACTTTTGCTCACTACTCCCAATTTGCTAGAATTTCCTACCAGATCTCTAATGTCAAGAAAAGAATGCTATGACAGTAGAGTCTTTCATATTAATAACAAAAGTTTAAATTTTTTAACTGTGATATTATCTCCAGGCTCATTCTCATTCTTTTAAACTTCAGAGGAAGGTCTAGATTTTTTCTCCATCCAGTTCAGTTCCTCACCCTCTCTTGCACATATTCCTGCAATCTAACCCAGTTCTAAGCAGGGTATAAGAGTAAACAATATTAGGAGAAAAACAAAGAAGCTGTGAAGTGGCAGGTGGTTCTCATGGCAGTTCTCTGCTTCACCGTAATTCCAGATTTAAATATAGAGATAGAATATGTATTCTTTAATTAAATAAATAACCTGGTAACATAGGCTTAATAGCCCTGATAAAGCAAGCTATCAGACACATTCTTACCATGTCCATTTAACAACTATTTACTTAGTACCTACACTGTGAAAGGCACTAGGTTAAACAGAAAGTGTAATAAAGCATGATTCCTGCCCTTAAAGAAGTTCCAGCTTCACTGGGGCTATAGCTGTGCTGTCATGAATAAGCAGAGAAAGAGAGTTCTCCTGCTCCTTTGTCAGCAAAGTATACTTCTGTCTTGCTGGACAGCAGCTAGTGAGTCATTAAGAGGACAGAGAGCTTACAGTTCGGTGGAGGAGCCCTTTTAATAGAAAAAGTGGTGTCTTTTCTATTAAAAGGGAAAAGTGGGGACGATCAGATATCAGGAGGCAATCCGGCCACCCAGAAGCATGGGGGCAGATGGTAGATGGTGAACCAAAGGAAGCAGATTGGGTGTACTGAAAACTCCAAGTGCTGTACTCAGAGGTTCCAAAAAACATTTTATTAACAGGAAATAAAGTAAAAGTGTACTTTTATTAACAGGAAATAAAGTAAAAGTAAAACAGGAAAAAAAGTAAAAGTAAAAACTCATAGAGATAATAATACTGGCATGCACTTTGAGTGATTTTTTTATTAGTAATGATGGGTTTCACCAGCTCTTTTATCCTAATCTGCCTTATGACCACAGAAGGATTTCTTTAAATCCCTTAAGTATTATGAGTACTAAAAACACAGACAACATCTTACATTTGTATAATACTTCATAAATTTCAAAGTGCTTTCACATATAATTATTTGATTTGATCTTCACAGCAACCCCAGGGGGTAGGTAAAGCATGTATAATTACCCTCTCTTCACATAAGAGGATATTGAGTCTCAAAAACAACAAGAGACACCTCAGGGATTGCAAATACCAATGGAGAGAACTGGAAGCAAAGTCTTCGAACATTTACCCTATAGTTTTTTCTACCACACCATGAAGTCTTTTTTTAAATCTCTTTACAGACCAACATCTAAAGAATGTATGAATCATAGTGTCATACAGCTATCTGTGGGGAACACTGCAGTGGCCTCCCCAACATTTATCCCACCGCTGCCCAGCCCTCCCCACCTTAACAGCTGTTAAGGTGGATGAGATTGGCCCCAGATTGACCCCTAGGGGAGCTATGGATGGTCAACCTTACCAAGAAAGAAATGAAGAGGGGAATGACTGGGACAAAGAACCCTGGTAGAAGGCTCTGCTATAGTGTACTAGTTACGGTTGGCTCAAAAACATTGATGACATGCAAATGCAGTCAATTTCTATATATTTAAATATGGATTATCCAAGTTTAAACTTTAATCCTAGACAAGTTTCTCTCCTCAACCCATCAAAATGCTGGACCATCTCTTTCCACAATCAGTTAATCTGTATTCAAAAATGAAAAATTAATTTTATTAGCTTAAGAGAAACAAATTAAGAAAGAAAACAATGGAGTGAATTATAAGGCTTTCCAAAGCTAAATATAAATTATTTTTGAATTAGCTATTTTAAATTATTAATACCTCAGATCCCTCTTCATTCGAGTATAGAAATTAAGGGCTAATTGCTTTTAAATTTTAGGGAGTGTTTAATCTATGGAGTGTTTTCATAAGAACAGTATTCTTAAAGGTAGGAACAACCTGTTTGATCCTTGTATGAGCCAGTAACTCATTCTGTAACTATTTTAACCCCGCTGCTTAGAGCCAGATATAGTTTAGAGTGGAGTGGAGCTTGGTCCTTTCAGAAGTAAAATTTATTCTCTCTCCTTAAGATCTTCTCTCCCACGTCACCTGAAGTGACAGTCTTAACTGAAGTGATGATGAAGTGAGCTGAAGTGATGGTCTTAACTGACCATCCTATCTAAAATAAAACATTTAAAAGATATTTTAAAATACCTTTCCCTCTTGCATTTATTCTTAGCACTATATCACTAACATATTCTATTATTTTACTTAATAATTTTGTCTGTTTATTGTCCACTTCACTCAATACAATTTATGAAGATAGGGATTTTGATCTCTTTTATTCATTGCTGAATACTCACTGTCTTTAACAGTGCCTGACACAGAGTAGATATTGACTAAACATCTGAATAAATAAATCAATGAATGAAGTAAGTCTTAAGAAATTTTTCAGGACTGCAATCATTCAGAACATAGTCTCTGACCACATGCTATTAAGGTAGACATCAAGAACAAATACACACACTTGGGTATTAAGAAAGGTACTTCTAAAATTTTATATGTCAATAAGTGGTTAAAATTAAAAGGTAATTAAGTTTTTCTAAAAAACAAAGGTACTTTTAAATAATTCAAAATCAAAAAATCATAAGGGAAACTAAAATGTATTTCAAAGAAAATAAGAAAAGAATTTTATATCAAAATCTGTGAAATGCAACTAAAGTATATATACTTGGAAGAAAACTTAAAGCCTCAAATGTTTAAATTAGAAAAGGCAAAAAACTAAATACAAATAAATTACTATACAGCTTAAGATTTTTGACAAAAAAAATAAAAGAGGTCTAAAGGAAGTAGAAGGAATAAAATAATAAAGAGCCAAGATTAATAAAATATTAAACAAACATACAGTACAGAGGATCAACACAGCCAAAAGTTGTTACCTTGAAAAGATTAAATTACCCAAATTCTGATAAGACTGATCAAAATTTAAAATGAGACAGAGAGATCTCAAATAATATCAGAATTAAAAAAGGAGACATCAAAAATGCTTTACACATCAAAGATAAGAAAATAATAAGTTTATGCTAATAAATTTGAAAACTTAGAAGAAACACAGTCCTAGAAAAATATAACTCAACCAACATTTGCCCAAAAATAAACAGAAAATCTGGATAGTCCTATACAACTAAGGTAATTGAAGCAATAGTTTAAAATCTTTCTAGAAATAAAACTCTAGATCCAGACAATTTTATCAGTAGGATTTATCAAATGTTCAGAAAAAAAATCTAAACTTTTACAAATTGTTTAAAAATAGAGAAAAAGAAGAAACACTCCTCAACTCATTTTATGATGATGGCATTATATTGAATACCAAATATTGACAAGGATAATGGCAGTAAAAAACAACAGGCAAATTTTCATAATGCAGAGAGTTGCAAATCAATATTAACAAACCAAGCCCAGTGACATGTATATAAAAGATAATGCATCACACCAATTAGATTTATTTCAGAAGCATAGTATTAGTTTAATATTTGAAAATCAATGCAATTTACCACACTGAGATTAAATTTAAAAATTCATATGATCATTTCATTAAGTACCCACTGAAATCAAGGCTTTCAGGTTGCCACTCTCAGAGAACAATAAAAGCAGAAGAAAGAACTATGGAGGGGGCGATTACTTTTAATGGCACTTCATTGCTTAAAGAAAGAAGATAACACACTTAAATCTCTAAATTCTAAGATCAAAGCCTACGCTCAAATTCACATGCTTTCTAAAACAATGGTATCTCTTGGAGATGCAAGGTTGAAATAGCAATGGCCTCATAATTAGTTTCAGAAATAAAGTCTGTAGCCTCTATCACTATCTATTCCTTGCTGTGACAGTTATATATGTATGATTCTAACTTTTCTGTTTCTTTCCTCTTCCTTTACCCCACTATTTTGTTTAGGGTATGATGGTAGCAGGTTACTTTACAGTAAGTCCAGAGACTAAAGAATATTAACATAGAAGAACAACGTAAGAAGAATGGATATCACTATGGGACTGAAATCTGGTGAATTTTTTGACTGCTAAGTTTTTTGTTTTTGTTTCTTACTGCTAAGCATCAAGACCTTGTTCCAATGTTCAGAGAATTTTCCAGAGTCTGATTCTCAGTGGGACACACAGCCTACCTTCTTTCTACTGCAGAAGCCAAAAATGCTTCCCCATCTTTTGGCAACCACAGTGCAGTCACATACCATAAGGTTTAGCCAATTGGAGAGGCTCACCTCTGGAGTTGTGAGTCTTGAACAGAGATATTTGTCTTTATTCAGAGTGAAAGTCTTTTTTTTTTTAGCCTTCTTGGTTTTGGTATATTTATTTAAATCATGTGTGTCTGTTTATTTTTTTTATTTTAGCATATTATGGGGGTACAAGTGTTAAGGTTACATATATTGCCCATGCCCCCCTCTCCCCTCAAGTAAGAGCTTCAAGCATGGCCATCCCCCAAATGTTGCACATCTTACTCATTGTGGTTGTATATGCCCATCCCCTCCTCCCCCCTCCCACCCTCCCGACCTCCGATAAATGTTACTCCTACATGTCCACTTAGGTGATGATCCGTTAATACCAATTTGCTGGTGAGTACATGTGGTGCTTGTTTTTCCATTCTTGAGATACTCAGAGTAAAAGTCTTTATTCAGAGATAAAGAAAGGAGAAGGAAAAATTAATGATATAAAAATAAGGAAAGTATAAGGAAGAGTTCATATTCCACTGCCCACTGACCAGAGGCAGTCGTGGTTATGGTACCATGTGTGGCATCCAGTGCCTGGTGCCAGCAGTGGCGTTGCCTAGGACTGTCCTCCCTGGAATATTTCCATGATGTCATTTTGCCTACCTGGTCTCCTTTGCTTGCTGCTTGTTTCTGATCCTTTAGACTTCCCACTTTTTCTATGAGTTGCCCAGTACCCTGGACCTTTTCTTCTTTAACCACCACCAATTTCTGTTGTTTGCAACTAAGAACATTGTCTTTAGGATTAAAGTGTTCTGAAGTTCTTGCCTTTCCAAAAAGTTAGAGATATTCATTAACTCACACTTCAAAAGAGGTAAGGAGGGTCTTACTTGATGAGGACCATCAAAGAAGGTCTAAAGTATTAATATTGAGGCAAGGACTGACAGATAAGAAGAAACAAGAGTGAGAAGAACCAGATTTTGAAAAGATGGGTTCCAGGCTGACAACAGGTATGATCAGTGTGTGGATCTGAGTCACGTAGGACATACATTTCATATTTAAATTCAATCCACATTTATGGAATATTTACTATGTTCCGGGCACTGTAACTATACAGTGTATTTTAACATACATAGTCTTATTTAAATCCTCATAACAATCCTGTGTTATAAAGGTGGTTATACCCCATTTTTCCAGATGAATAAAACTGAGATTCAAAGAAGCTTTAAAACTGCATGGTCAAGATCATACAGCCTTTACATAGTAAAACCCAAGTTTTCTGACTCTAAGGTCAGAGTACTTTCCACTATACCCTGATACCTCTGTTTGAATTAGCAGTCTGATTGGCAATTTGAAACTGAACGTTGCTGCTACTTTTTAATACTGAAGTATTATTTGTTCAGATTTTAGTCTATCTTCTGTATCTGTTAATGAACACTCTTTCTTGAAAGATGCAGACTTATACAATTAAATGGATACCACCTCCTTAAAACTTAATCTGAAATTTTATATTTAGTGAGCACAAAAGACTAAATAAATATTACCTGGATTTTATATGCTCCTAATAATAAAATCAGAAATAACTCATAAAATTTAGAACTCAAGAACTGTGAGCTATGCTATGTTTCCATGGTAACACAATGAGGAAAAATTAGATGGCCTAAAAGATATTTTAATTTCAATAAATGGGTTCACAGTTTTAACATCATTTTTAGAAAAATCTATATATATAATCATTATTATTACCAAAATCCACATATTAATACCATGTATTCCTAAAGGAAGAGTACCCACAGCATTAGAACCTTCTTGTGCACCATTTCAGATGTTCTCAGCCCTTCCTCATATTCTAGCCTCTGTGACAGGCTCACAGAGGTATAACTTTCACAGGTATAACTTGACAGTATCTTGTTTTGCCTTGGCCAACCCCAGTTACCTCTCTTCCTGTTCAGGAGATTCCCTGATACTATTGCCTGAGACACCAGCAGGACGCTGGTGGCACTGACATGGGCAACCTGGAAGCACAGGGATGTCGACACTTATGGGGTCACTCTCTTTTCTTTCTTTCTTTTTTTTTTTGAGACAGAGTCTCACTCTGTTGCCCGAGCTAGAGTGCCATGGTGTCAGCCTAGCTCACAGCAACCTCAAACTCCTGGGCTCAAGCAATCCTTCTGCCTCAGCCTCCTGAGTAGCTGGGACTATAGGCATGCGCCACCATGCCCGGCTAATTTTAACTATATATTTCCAGTTGTCCAGTTAATTTCTTTCTATTTTTAGTAGAGACAGGGTCTCACTCTTGCTCAGGCTAGTCTCGAACTCATGACCTTGAGCGATTCTCCCGCCTCGGCCTCCCAGAGTGCTAGGATTACAGGCACAAGCCACTGCTCCCGGCCATGGGGCCACTCTTGACCAACGTGGGATGGGGGTCAACAAATAATCCTTCTCCTTGGCATCCTCCAGAGTGATGGTTCTTAGCCACATTTCATCAGGCTCCTCAGAGGGTCCTGGCACGTTCAACAGTACCCAACCAAAACCAAACACATCTTCAATTAGCTTTTCCTCTTCCCTTTTTCACTTCCCTATCAAATACTCCTGCTCCCCAGAATTACTCCTTAAATAAATTAATTATACATAAGCCTTTTTACTCAAGATATATTTTCAGAGGAACCCAAGCTAAGACACCTAACTTTAAGTAGATTTTATACATCTGTGTATACGGTTCTTACAAAAACTCAACTATAGTTTTTTGTTGTTTTTTTAGTAGCAAGCTCTTTTAAATATAATCAAAATTATAGGAATAGTATACTTCTTCTTATCCTAGAGATTTTGGCGCATGTCTCTATAATGTATCTTTCTTGATGTCTAGAATCAAATAAGGCAAATACAAAATAGAGCTTTTGCATATTAACTTCTAAATGATAATAGGTTTGCTCAATTTCAACTCTACTATGTATTTTTAATAACCTTTTGGAAAGTCAACCTTTCTATGCCTCGACTACCACCTTTATAAAAAATGGTATATAATTCTTATTTCACAGATTGTTTTTGGGATTCAATCAGGTAATATGTGTGAAAATGCCCATTACAGTGCCTAGCAGATAATCAGCCTGGCAAATAACATTAGCTATTGTTATTATTACTATTGTTAGTAGAATTTCTTTTATTTGAAAGTCTGCTATCAGGGTGATAAAAGATCCATTTCATGAATTGTTATTTCCACCCAAACCTTTCACTGCATTGTATTTTGCAGGCATAAGCAGGTATTTAAATTCATTTAATGCTTGGAATCAAGATATCTCTGTAGGGGACTGACATATATTTTCCTAGTCTAAGAATTAAAGTTAATGAGTAATGTCTGTGTTCTTCCCAAAGTGTTTAAAAGTAATCTGTTCTGGATAAGATCCTTGTGATAAACAAGGCTGTTGCCTAGAGGCATAACAAAGGATCTGAGTTGCAAGCAAGCAAGAGCTACCCCGCCCCACGACATTGAAGGTCTGGAGGCCACACGATAAATACATTGTTCCTGTGATTGCTGAGTACACCCCATAAGATGGCTGGTTAGTCAATGACGGGTAAGAGCCCTCAAGGGAGGGGTGACCTAAGCCATGCACAGCCATTGGGGTTCAGCCGAAGATCTTACGGGGTCACTCTAAGAGAAGCTGGGGATGAGAAATGCCCCCTGTGGCTCACCTTGCCCATCCTTGCTAATCTCGGTCCTTTATCTATGCCTAGTGCCTAGAGCAACCACCTTGAAATTCTGAGTCAGGGGATATCTGCTTCCCTAAGGCTACAACACATTCCGGAATTTATGGCTATCACTGCCACGCCTGGGTGGTTACATACAAGGAACTAACTTTAATCTTTGGAGTATAAAAATAAAACTGACTCTGTGTATTATTACTCAAGTCAACCGTTTGTAGGCGTGTCTGCGTTTTTCTTTGTGTTCTGCGTTTGTGTTTTGTGTTCTGTGTTCATCCTCCATCCTGTAAACAGGCCACGACATATCTCCACAAAATAAACTGAGAATACTTCTGTATACATCTTTGAAATGAGAGACTTCAAGGCACTATTGCTTTAACAACTACGTTTGTCTCACAAATAAAACTACCCTATATCCTTCTACCATCACTGTATTTGCTCTTGTGCAGTCCTTCTTCAATTCAACAAGTGTAGAAAAATCCTGCTATTACGTGTTACGTGAAAACTAAACAAATATCATGCAAAATGTACAGTCACATTAATGTTAGGTTATAAAATGACTAGGTTAATAAATTGACTAGCTAGATGGCCAGGAATTTCAGAGGTCCCTTGGGGCATCCGTATGTATTCATGTCCAAGCTGTGATTAGCGCCACCTGGTGGTACTTCAAACTGAAGGTTAGGTATTGATAGGAATGTTTCTAGTTCCTGTATTGATTGGTACTTCCAGGGCAGCATCAATGACACTAGAAACAGGGAGTTGCACTTGTTTGATCAGCTTGATGTAAGAATACTGGGCCATGATATACAAGGGCCCTCTCTGCTTCCCAAGGCAGGACTGCCTGCCATTCAACCTTCTAACTACACTCACCTCACCGTATCCTCCCTTAAAAAGTAAACACTTTAGCCTCCACTCCCTTTTGCCCTCCCCCCATGAGAAAATGGCTGAACATGGGGCAGGAGTTAATTTTAAATAGAATTAAACGTTAATTCTCATCACTGATAGGGCACACTATAACAGGGTTTTACAGTATTGGTTGAGAATAAACCATCTCCTAGGTTCTGTCCAAGCTACTGTTGATACATTAAGCAGCAAAAATCAATAAATCTTTGCTCTTACAAAACCTTCAGTATAGTGGAAAAGGCAGACATCTATCACATAATTCTACAAATATACATGACAAGCGGTATGAAGAAGAAAGGTGGGGTTCCAAGTGGGCGTGTAATAGAATAATGTCACATGATCAAAAAGATCTGGAAAGAGTTCCCTGAAGATATGATTCCTCTACAAAGACTGAAGATTAGGCAAAAGGAAGTGAATAATTTCACAAGCAATAAAATTGAAATAGTTTGAAATATAACTTTGTATTTTAATTCCCCTTTATAAAATATGTTTTCC